TCATCCAAATAATTGGCTAAACAACCAGTCAATTGGGCCAACCATTTCAAGGGGTAATTACATAAACACCCACAAAATTGGGGGCATTTAAAAAAATCATGCTAAAAGTTATCTTGAAGTAGAAAATACTGTCATTTTTTGTCGGGCAACTTACAAAAATACCTTTAAAATTAAGAGTCTTTTGAAAAATCATATGAAACTTATTTTGGAAATAAAAAATACTGTGAAATCAATTGTCACTTTTTTTAATAGAAGAAAAAATGACACAGTAAAAAAAAGTGACTAAAATCAACGGTCACTTTTTAAAATTAAGTGTCACTTTTTTATTTAAAAATGACATATAATGCCACTTTTATTAAAAATTGATATTTATCACTAAAAAACTTGATAGAAATCAAGAAGGCGACTAAAAAAAATAGTAAATACTAAAAAAAAGTGACATAAAAAACGTGATACAAATTAAAAGAAGTTATACAAATTTAAAAAAGTGACGAACAATAAAAAAGTGAAACACTCAAAAAGTGAAAATTCGAAAGAGTTTCAAACACTTTAAAAAGTGACAAAAATTTAAAAGGTGACAACGCTAATTAAAACATTAAAATCAGTTTAATAAAATGACAGAAAAGAGTGATACAACAGCCGTCCCATTACATAGCTTTCTTGCTTGTTAAAGCAAAATAATTGAAAAATTACTTAAATATGTGAACTTCTATTTTAATTTTTAGCAAAGGAAATATTCCGTATGCATTTTCTTTTCTTCATTTGAAACATGGTATAGAATCTGGAATACTTCTATGTAGTCCACCTCCCTCTCTCTCTCTCTCTCTCTCTCTCTCTCACACACACATTATTGCTCTGCGAGCAGTTTACTTTATAAAGTTTTGATTGTTTGGTTAAAACGACAAGAAGCCTTATTCCCAATCAACGTTGAGTTGACTACGTCAATCATATTTTTGCAATTCTATTTGATATAGGCTCTAAATCTATTGAAAGTTTCAATAAATACAAATCCTTTGCAACCACAAGAAACCATGTTAATTTGTCCACCTCTCCCCTCTGCTGGGATTGCGCTGCTGCTGTGAATGCGAAAGGTGCAGTAGCACCAGTTAATAAAAATTCTCCACTAACGATTTGAAAACTATTAGCTCTGTGAGGGGAATAAATGTACAACTTTACTTTCTTGCACGAGTCCTCTTAGCCTCTGTTTTTGTATATGAATTTGCTAAAACCTTCGGCATCACATTAAGGGCACAAAAGGGCATCAACAATAATCACACTCGGTAGTAAAATCAAAACAGGCATCAACTGTTGAGGGTCGACAACATTCCACCAGTTGCTGTTAGGATAACAACTTCCCAACCAGGTCCTTTAAGAGGAATAGGGGTCGGCTTTGTCTCATGGTTTTTGTCATCTGAAGAATTCACAATCAGATCGTTGCGATCCAAAATTTTCTCCAGATTTTCGTCACTAATGCTCGTTTGTATCCACTTATCATTTCCGTCTTCTTCATCTCGAAGAAGCGCTAGCAGTTCCTCTTCCTGAGAAAACAAAACTGGATCAGTGAGAAGCACATGAATGAAACACATGCGACAAAATGGTAAATGTGCAGGGTGCACAAACCGTCATGACATCACTTCTATCTACCTTGGTTCTTTCTTGCTTAAACTGTCCTTTCTCGATCACCACATGCTCAAGCTTCAACTTGCTAAAAGCTCTTTTCAGAATTCGACCCTGATAAAATCACATTGAAGGTTTCTTCGTTAAAAATTAAAAAAGGGGGCTGAAATTTTACGAGGAGATCGATGCGGCTTATGAAGCATACCTCAACAGACTGAGCTAGTTAGCCTGTAAACATGAACAGGTTTTGTTTCCCCAATCCTGTGACGCCGATCCATCGCCTACAAATCCATCTGTGGGTTCTGCAGTGCAAGAACAACTTACAAATATTTAAACCTCAAAAGAGAACACAGATGATCTCTGGGTTAGGAGATTTACAGTTGAATTTGCTCAGATTTTGCTCGTAACTTCGCCTCTAGAAATTTGGGGCTACAATGGGAGATGAAACATTTCTGAGGAGGAAGAGGGGATTAAGTGGTTTAGGCTTGTTGTAGTTAATCAGGATGGGTTTCGGTTGGAGTTAATTAGGTGGTTTAGGAGGTATTTAATACTTTCTTAAATTGTTTAATTAGTTTAAGGATATTAATCAAAACACTTTTAAAAAGGGTATAAGGCCTAATTTTCCCTTTTTTTGTCCATGCAAGATGTCGAAGACTGGCCAACACTGCTGCAACTCTGACAACTGTGGCCCAACCAACTATTTTAAGTTTTTTAAGGACAAGTGTAGATGCATTGGTATTTTAATTTTTACAAGTAAAATGTTAATTATTTTCACAGTGAATTAAATAAAAACTTATTTATAACTTTTTGTTATTGCAAGATTACTTGTTTACAACTATAACTTACATTTAAAAAGTGATAAAAACTAAAAGAAAATGACAAAAAATTTAAAAAAAGTTACGTACACAAAAAGTAATACAAATTCAAAAAAAGTGACAAATACTAAAAAAAATGAAAGAAATTCAAAAAAGTAACACTAAAAATGGTAACAGAAATTCTAAAAAAGCGATGTACTCTAAAAAAAAGTGACACAAATTCAAAATAAGTGACAAAAAATTTAAAAAATGACAAACACTAAAAAAGGTGACACACTCTAAAAAATAACAGAAATTCAAAAAACGACATACAGTCAAAAAAATTACACAAATTCAATAAAAATGACAAAAAAAATGACAAAAAATAAAAATATTACATAAATTTAAAAAAATAGCAAACACTTTAAAAAAGTGACACAAATTCATGACAAAATAAAAAAAGTGACTAACACTCAAAAAGTTATAGAAATTAAAAAAAAAAAAGGAATACACTAAAAAAGTGACACGATTTTTTTAAAAAAAAAGTGACACGGTAAAAAAAAGACAGAAAGTCAAACAAAAGGTAACAAACATTCAAAAAATTGACACAACATGTCACTTTAAAAAAAAATTGATTTATTTAAGGGCTATGTTTATTCACTCTTGCGGTGATTTTTTGTTATCTTATCGAAGTTTTCACGACAAATTTTGAAATATATCTTTCGAATTTAAAATTAATAAATGATTAATTCATAATTACAATTTGAAAATGGCCACAAGAAATGAATTAATTTTTACATTGATATCGATTAGGAAAAAAAAATAATCATAATTTTACGTTTAATAATTTATGGAAGATAATTTTCTATTTTTAAATATCGTCCATAACATATTTATCATGATTGCGTTGCAAGCCTCTAACGGATTTTTGAATAGCTCATAATGAATAACTGTAGCATAAAATATACCATCGAACGAAAATATTTTAATAAAAAAAAATTTAAGAAGAGAAAAAATTTAGATTAGAGGGAAGGTTTGTCCGCCTGTGTTTCCGGGTGAATTTGAGCATAGCGTAATTAATAATGTAATTAAAAATATAATTAAGTTTAAGCGCATAATTCTAGTTATTTCATTTTTTAAAGTAATGGCCTAAGTATCCCCCATTTCAAGTGGAAATTACATACAACCCTACTTTTCAAGATCCAAATTCCAAAATAAGATTTCAAGTTTTAATGTTCAAAAATCAGATGTTTTATAGATAGATACATGTTTTTAATATTTAATTAAATATTAATAATATTATTATAAAAATTAATTTATATACACCCCACCCCACCCCACCTTACCTTAAATCCCTAATTAATCACTCACAGTTTCAACTCCATCACCCCCTTCCCCCTCCAATCTCTCTGTATCGGCGGCGTTCACCCACCCTCTCCCCATCTCTCTCTCTCTCTCGGCCACAGCCACGGTCGCCTCCACCGAAGTGCGTCGCTCGCCGGAGGAGAACTCTCTCTCGGCCACAACCACAGATCGCGTCGCCCACCGAAATGCTTCGCCCGCCGGCACCAACACAATCGCCTTCTCAGAACGCCGGCACGATCCTTCGCGCGGCGGCATCATCCTCCTTGTGGTGGTGTGCAGTGATTTTGGCGAGGTGTGTGGTGTTTTTGGTGGTGCCGAGTCTGCCGACAATAGCGACTGCTCCAGATTTTTTGGGATAGGCATCGTGGTTGTGATGTGGTAAAGATAAATGGCTGGTGGTGGGGATGAGTTGTTGGTGGTGGTGTTGTGAGAAGCCGATGGTGTTGGTGCAGTGATTGTCTCATGGCTGGTGGTGGTGCAGTGATTGTTGTCTCATGTGGTGCAGTGATTGTTGTCTCATGTGAGATTGTGGTAGAGATAAATGGCTGGTGGTGGTGCAGTGATTGTTGGTGGTGATGATGTGTGATTTGTGGTGTATATGTGCTGATCTGTGTATGGTGGTTGTGGTTCGTTCGGAGTAGTGGTGGTGGTAGTGGTGGAGATGGTGAGGTAGGGGTGGT